TTTACAGCCTCCCAAGTGCTGGGATTATAGGTGCGTGCCATCATGCCCAAACTCAATGACCATCTCAGTGTACCCCAGGGGCAGGGCCAGCATGGTTTGCCTGGGAATTTAATCTGCTGAGCTATTTGGCCAGCCTTCTGAGTTTAGATTTTCACTTCCAAAATGTGTAAGATAAATACACATCTTTCCTTTATAAAGTTCTTAGTCTCAGATATTTGGTTGTTTAAAAGTGTTTTATCGCTTTATCAAAACAGGATCTCACTTTGTAGTTCAGGCTGGCCTTGAACTTATTATGTAGCCCAAGATAATGTCAAACTCAGAGCAATCCTCCTGCCTCAGTCTCCCTAGTGCTGGGATTAGAGGTGTGTGGAACCACACCTGTTCAGATATTTGTTATAGCAACACAAAACAGACAAACACATTCTGATGATTTAATTATCTGTTACATTTGTGTTCTCCCCACATTCATCACTAGACTTCCTGCTTTTACAAACTCAGTATAGCTTTCCGCAAATACGGAGTATAATGGTACCGGAAGTACTGTCCTTGTGACAAACAAGGTTTGTACTATAACCAACAAGGTCATCAGAACACTGGATTTTATGCATTATTTTATAAATGAAGGGGCTTTATAACTAAATTAGCTTTAAAAGCTAATGTTTCATTGATAATATTCTAGACTGCGACTAACTATAGGAGCATATTAATGAAGAAGTTCACTGATATACTACTTTCACGCAGTACTGTTATCATTGAAGACCCATATTTAATTTAACTCCAGAAATATACATGAAACATAAGACATGAATAATTCTTGTTCTTACCAGGATAACTCTTCAACTGTGTCTTCATTGGTGCTTTCTTTATACTTTTCCCAATAATACCTGCTAAGGGTTGTGTGTCCATCTCTATAGGATCAAAACAGATTTTAAAATATTTTATAAGGTAAATATTACCATATGTATATGTGCTACACAAACTTAAATTATTATTGTTATTCTAGAAAGTAGTTTTAAACAATGTTTGGATTTCAGAATTATAAAACCTTAGAACCAGAAAGTATTAGCAACCATATAAACCTTATTACATGAAAACTAAGAATATATAATGACTTGAAGACAACAGGTAAAGATAATGATAAAATTGATATACAACGTAAACTGCATAGTTCCTTCATCAGTGCTTTTTGATACAGCGTAATCTTTGGCACAAACTGAAGTCAACCTGGGATTTCTATGATCGTGATTTGCAAGCCTATGCAGAGTATGCACACTCTGTCAATATACACCTAATTTTTTTGTATAGGTCAGTTTTCAGATCATGGTCCACAGAGCCACAGAGTGATATGAAGTAGAAATTCTGTGATCAGTCTAAGAATATTTTATGCCTTTTATAATACTACACAATTACAAATCTAGTACACATCAGTGGAACACAAGGATAGTATTTTGTAGACTATGAAAAAGTTTCCCTGAGCTCTTTTTAGGTTGTAGACTCTGTACCTGGAGGAAATTAAGCAGTGAAATTTGAAGTTGCACCAGCATTGAGACTGAATTTTCTTTGGTTTGAATTTTTATGTGATTTGAACTTTTTCCCAGATTTAAAAACTACTGACAAGGTCTAATGACAAGGAGAATACATGAAAGCTATTGAAGTTGAGTTCATTTCAAAAAAGAGACAATTATGATGGGTGACTAAAGTAAATGAATGGAACAAAGTTTCTGTGAGTGAAGGTTGGTTATTGGAGATTGCACAGAGCTACAATGACGTACACACCAGAAGGTGGAAGTTCTCCTTTGAAAAAATGCCTCAGTTCATGTATAAATGTTATAGGCTGCAAGATAACATTCACAGTTCAACTGTCAATACTAAAATACAGAGGCATCATTACCATTAGAGAAGTTTTAAAACTTGATATAGTCATTTCTTGCTTCTAATTTCCTTTGCTATTGTGGTTCTATTAGAACCTTGAACTGTTTCCTTATGATTTCCCCTTGTAGTAGCCAAGAATCAGGTCTCCCCTTAAAATCTTGGATGCATTTTGAAGTGATTTTGTACAATCTACAGTCTTCTGTTGAGGGACATATTGTTTTCTTAGCACCATTTATTGAAGAGGGTCTTTTTAATTCAATGTGTGTTTTTGGTACCTTCATCAAGTATCAGTTGGCTCTGTGTGAATCTGTTTCTGGGTTCTCTGTACAGTACATTGGTCTAAGTGCCTGTTGTTGTACCAAGACTTTCTATGATCTCTGTGCAATATAGTTTGAAATTAGCTATACCAATGTGTGCAGATTTGTTTTTGTCAAGAGCTGCTTGGCTACTATGAATCTTCTTTGCCTTAATATGAACTTTGTGAGTTTTTTCAGGTCTTTAAAGAATGTCACTAATATCATATTTCAATGTAAATTACACTGAATCTGCAGATTACTCTTGGGTAGTACGACTGTCTTAAGAAAATCAATTTTGGGGAGGTGAACAGTTGTGCTGGCAACCAGTTCCACCACCAGAGAATGTAGGTGGCTGCTGGGTGGCTGCAGGGTCCTGGTGAGTCTGGCTTACCCCCAACACCTGCACAGAAGCTTTGCTGAGCACTGGCTGTTCTACTGACTCAGTAGTAAGAGCCTTGGTGAGTCCTTCCCTGACCCCACTGTATCAGGAGCCTCACCGACCAACACAACACCATTATCCCACCACTGCTGACTCTGGGTAATCACTGGGCACTTCAAAAATGCCAAAACAAAGAATAACAAGGTAATCTCAGTCCTCCAGCCCACTCAAAACAAGTCCAGGAGACAAGAACAAACAAGAATGTGAAAGTTGCATACCTGAAATTTCTGAAATGAAAGCAACTGACATAAAGAAACAAGTCCATAAG